GATACTTGTAAATCTGGGGTTAGTAGCGTACGGGCTAGTTACAACCCATCCCTTTATTTGTATTTCTTAGCTAGGGCTTACTTTCATCTTCATGGTTGTACGTCAGTGTACGTCAGCGTGAATCCCTGAAGTATTGCGGTCTTTGATGATGATAAATTGATCAGTATCAAGTTGGCTATTCGATCCGTACATGATTCCTCTGAGCAGAACCAGGGCTCATTTTCTCTCCAGCGTTTGCAAACTGGGGGAATTCCTCAGTGTACGCATTTAAGCATCCAACTACTCACCGATTTTACGAGTAGTCTACTGTGATGTTACGGCAATCAGACTTCCGATGATCTGACCCTCAGCTTGTCACGCAACGAGTTAGATGGGAAAAATCATACTTCTCTTTACTACGTCAATTTCATTGATGATCTGGTAGATTTATCGAACGGCTCACACTGGAATCCACCAACACCACTGTTAAGCATAGAAACTGTATTACTAATAAGTGGTTTGGTAAAGCTCCTGGCGTAGCTTCGTAGCGCAGGTGACAGAGCGCTTGCCGCATTGAGGCATGGTATTTCTGTCGCTGGTTCGAATCCAGCCGAAGCCCTGACTTTTCACACTTGGCTGTCATCCAAAATCATAAATCTGCCCAATCACTTATTAGCAATACAATTCCTATGCTGAACCGTGGTGTTGGTGGATTCCAGCGTGAACTGTTCGAGAAATCCTGCCCGGGGCAGTCGATCCTCTGGATCATTTGATGGATCTGGTAAATTTAATGTCTGCGAGTTGTCCACTTCAAATACGATATTTTAAATGAAATTCCAAGGTTTGTATCAAAAATCAAATTTTCTTTATAAAAGAGAAGTCGAGCCCAACCACACTGCTATAAAGCATACGCAACAATCCGTGCTTTTTGCCCATCTTCCGTTGGAGTTTCCAAGCATGGCATACCAAGTGGTGATCTGCGGTTCCAAACGCTAATAAAGTTTCTATTCGCGTTTGCTTTGTCCCCTCCCAGACTGCTCCCTGACAAGCCGTAGATCAGCCTTGGTCACGTGGTTGCATCAGCCTAAGACCGCAATGGGTAAAAGTGCGAAGTTGGCAGCAAGTTCACGGACTGGTGAAACCGACAAGTCATGTGACCCTAATCGATAATTACGGTGGGTTTGATTTGTGCGCATAAAAGGTTAGCCAGACGCCTGTTTCAAGTGCACCGTTTTTACGATTTCAACTTACGTAATCCGTAAGCAGACGTTCAGTATATAAGTAGAGGTAAAGAACCATCCAAAAACTGACGACTAAGACATGCAGCCACTCAAATCCCAAGTACTGCAAAGTACTTAGCACAACTGAAAAACGGCATACCGGTTACATCGTCCGGCGTTCTCTGAACTTACAGCACACTTCAGTTAACTAGCGGGTCGATATCACACTGGTTAAATAAGAATGCACAGAGTAGAAGAGTTCATACACTTGAATGTCAGACGTAAACTAATCATTAAAGTTAACACTCAGCAGAAAAGAAACCAATCCATCGTCTGAATAAATCCTAAACACTGGTTTTAAAAATCCTAAACCTCTAACTAGACTTCGACCAATCTAGAAATAAGCACTCTGTATGGAACTCTGCTTTTTGAAAATAGTATATGAACGTTAATCATGACGTGGTATGTGCACTGACCAGGTTTGGAGTGATACAGTAGAAATCATTTGAAAGTAAGTAACAAACGCAAGAATACGAAATCAACTGTCGGATAGGAAATGAAACGAAGAATATTATCTGACGCGAAAAACGGAACAGTATAATGAACAGTATTAGCTTTTTAGAACCATGTTTGCGTACGAGTGACCCTGGTAAACCAGAACTTTTTCGAGAAATGGACCACCGTTCGGTTGCACTTCAAACGGTTTCACCGAGGCTCGACTCTCTAGTAGGGTGGTGTTTATCGGAAGTATACCACTGTAGAAAGCACGCTGGGATGGGAGTGGTTGTTTGTATAGAACGGAGTGGAAGAAACGCCGCTATCGACTGTCAATAATGGTCCTATGGAAGACAAAAGAATGCAGTAAAAATGCAACAACAGGTCATACAAATACAATGCGATTTCTGATAATGTGTCAGTGGTTTTTCTTGAGTTCTAGCCAGCAACCTACCAATATTCCAAGTCAAGAGATGTCAACCTTCGGCTAAACAGGGCCAGATGTCAATGAGTGGATCGTGGGTCACAATGCTCCAATACGAGTGAGTCAAATTACTGTTAATAAAACGCAAAATTGGTGGAAATCCCCTATGAATCATAGAACAAAACCTTGACTGATAATTGTTTTCAATAGCTCATCATCAGATCAATACAGTCACATAAATACAGCGAAATCAGTTAGTATATGAACAGGAAAAAGGGGTTTAACAGAATGTCATTGGATCACGTATAGCGTTACGAAATTTCCAAGCGATTGTGGGCTACTTACTCAGAGAGCAAAGCACCAATGTTAATGGTAAGTGATTTGAACTTCCACCCACCCTTACGTCACAGTAATCGGTTGGAGTTTGGATGGGTATGCTGACCGATGATGTAAATTTTCATCATGGCAACTGTGCACGACTTGTATGAACTTACGCATGAAAACAAAATGGGATTGCTTAATTCAATGAAGATAAATTAAGGATAATGTTTACTTTGCCAAAATAATACCAAGGCCATGAAGTCCTAAATGAAGCAAAGTAGTATGTTATTTGATGCTGGTTGTCACTTGAGCGTCAGTTAAATGGTCATCCACCAGATGGATTCATAATTTACACCTGGTATATTTAAATTTTCAAAGAGGTTGATCGTTCATATTGTAACGAACAAGTCGGCCGTTTTTACTCTGATTGACCATTACACTTTAGGATTAACTTTTGGACAACATGGAGACACTGGGGAACAGAGGTTTTCTGAAGTAGGTGTTCCAACAATAGTCCTGTAAAAGGAAACAACACAAAGTCACAGTAAGCCATGCACACGGCTTACACAAACGAAAACTAAAACGGCGCCAACAACACAGCAGCACTCTCTGTCACACAATTCAAATTCAATCCAAGCATGTTTGCTGGTTTCGACTACATATCACAACATGAGGACTACTCCATGTCTAGTCAAGCGTGGCACAAACGTACCATCTTACATCACAATTGCCGGAAGCCTTTATGGTTTATTTCGATTCCTAAGAAGGATCCCTCTAAACCATGTCCGACAAAGTAGGCCTCCGAAAAATTTATGCCATCTGAAACGATTGACCATAGGACCTTTAATGATCCTCATCATCACGGCCAAGATCGGCGGCGAATACCGTAGTAAGTCATGTCTTTCGCATTCTATGAATATCTGATAATGGATATATGGCCATCTTGGACTAAGGTAATTCTCTCAACTACAAGTGCAGTGACGATGAGCGAT